GCGGGCGTCTGCGCCGTGGCGGGAGGGAGGTGGGCGGGCAGCGTCAGGATGGGAATGAGGGGCCGCATGCAGGCCGACCCTCGTCTGCGTCAGATGCCTCAGCGCGCTGCCGCCCCGCGGCTTGCGTTTCGGGGTGCGAGTTGCTGTGTGAGTCCACCTGCTGCCGTGCTGGGCCAGCTCTGCAGATGGCCATTGCCTTCTTGTTGCCTGTCCATCCTTGAGCACCCGACTCGTGCTGTCACTCACTTGTCCCTGAGTCTTACGCCCACCCACTCCTCTGCCGGCTCTCTGCAGTTTCGGTCTCATCCAGAGCACCCTCCTGGCTCTCGCCTCCAGGTCACACCCCTGAGGAGGGTGGCGGGTCAGGGGCACCTGGGCCTGCTGGGGGGTGGGCGGAGCTCGGCCGTGTGAGGATCTGGGGCCCTGCCGAGGGTGGGCTGAGGCGGGAACTGCTTCTGACCTCGCTGCACCTTTGTCGAGTGGAGGGTGAGGGACAGGGGGCCCGAGCCAGTCCTGAACTCCACGAACATCCGTCCTGGGGAGGTGGCGGCTGTTGTGGCCCAGCCCTCTGGGGTCCCCGCTGGCTTCTGCGCTGCTGCTTGGGCCACGTTCACAACTGGTGCACATCCCGTGTCACGCCTCTGTCATCTGAGCCAGGCTTGGTGGCTGAAAGCAGACCATGTGGCTGCGGTGGGCTGGGCCGGGGCCAGGCCCCCTCGGTCCCGGGGACCCCTGGGTTTGGGGGCCAGACGCGGGCCAGGCCTGGCTGCCTCTTATTCCCATCTAAAGGCGTGGGGCCCGCGCGCAGCGGGGCTCTGGGCTCTCGGGAACCCGCTGTCGGCCTGTGTGCTGTGCTGGCTGTCCGGGCGCCGGCCCCGGCGCAGCCCCACGCACTGACCCTGGCCCTGGGCAGGAGGGGTCCGCCTGGCCGCCAGCAGCGCTGCCTTTGATCTGGGAGCCCGAGCAGCTGGTCGCGGCGGAGCGTCCCCCACCCGCCTCGTGCCTCCTGTCACTAACAGCCGCACACCCAGAGGGCCGGCCGGCCACATGGTGTCTGCTTTGTGTCCCTTCTCAGTGCTGGGGGAGGGGAGAAGGGAACAAAACAGAACTTTTGAGGGAACTTCAAAGGTACATTCAGCCATCAAAAGGGTCTCCAAGGTCCCGCTAGCGCGGAGCCTGTGTGTGACTTTCCGAGGAGCCGGCAGCGAGGCCGCGCGGCAAGCCCTCGGCCCAGGCGGGTGGCTCGCAGACCCGGCGGCTCCTGCCTTTGATGCCGGAACATTCGTTATTGGGCGGCGGTGGAACTGGCCGTCAGCACCGGCTCGGGAGGAACTAGTGCTGCGTCCTTTGAAGTCCCTCTGCCGCCCGGGAGGCTGCCATCCAGCAGGCACGCCCCACGCAGCTGGCACAGGGGTCGCCGATCAAAGGCCCCAGTCCCCTAGGCAGGACAGGCGGCTGACAGTGGTTGCCCCTGTGCCGGGCTGTCTGCCCCCAAGACGGGGGGTCGGGTGGTGGGGGGATGGGGGTGGTTGGGTGCTTTCCTCGGCGCCTGACTCAGGGTAGGTGTAAGCCTTGTCTCTAGGTGTCCCCGCTCCCTGACCATGGGGGCTGCTCTCGCTGCCCGGATGTCGTCCTGTTGGCCTGGGGTGCCTGCTCACGACGTCCCTCCAAGAGCGCCGCCCCGGGCCCGGCCGTGGCCCCCGCTGACCTGGGTGGGCGTGGCTTTCGTTGGAATGTGCACTGAGGCTGGCACACAGGGCGGCAGCTTGGAAGGCGCCGGCCACGTGGCAGGTTTTTGAAGCCTGGTGACGGGCAGGTGCCCTCTGGCCATCTGTCTTGTTGCCCCACAACTGGGCATGGGGCGAGACGGATGCCCGGCCTGTGAGCCGTGTAGAGAATGGGGTGCATCGTTGTGCCTGCAACCCCCAAGCTGCCCAGCCAGGGCCAGGTGACGCCTGCTTTGCAGGGTTTGCACCCGTCTGCCTGGTGTGCACGTCGCCCCCTTCAGCTTGCTGGCCTTGGGCCGTGTGTCCCCCCGGGCTCCCCAAGGCCCGCAGGTGAGGAGACGCCTGTTCGTGCCGGGCTTGGGGTTTTGGTCGGCACACAGCGGGCCCCGCCCGGGCATGTGGAGCTCTCCGCTCCAAGGTGCCGGCGTCACGGCCGCGGTGCGTGCTGAGCTGCCCCGCTTCCCTCTAAAAACCCTCTTCTCTCCTGTGCGGAAGTGCGGGTGGGCCCAGCAGTGGACGGTGGGTGCCGGCGGGGCGGGGATTGTGTCTGTGAGCTTCCTGTCCAGGCCTCCAGTGTCCAGGGCGGTCCCCTGTGCAGCCTCGTGCCAGGCGTGGCCCTCCCCTTTCACTGCCCGCGGCCGCTGGCGGGGTCCCTCCGGGGGCGTTGGCTCCAGGAGTGACTGGGAGGTTTGGCCCGAGGCCTCTCGTAGTGACTCACTCACGCCCCAGGCCTCAGGGGGACGCGCATTCCCTCTTCCCAGACAGCTGTCGGGGCTGCAGGGGGAGGACAACAGCCCTCTCAAGGAAGCTGGAAAATCTGGCTTGAGGTCACCTCCAAATAGTTTCTACATTTTTTCTCCGTGTGTCATCACGTTCTGGAAAATCACCGTCAAGGAGATTAAATCTCAGCCGGCAGCAAGGCCGCTTCCGACACGAGGGGACCCCGTGTGCCCACGCGGTTTCAGCCACTTGTGTGGCGGCTGCTGGAGTGTGGCCACCGACTGTCCAGAGACCATCCGGCCCCTCGTCCCCTCCTCGCTCAGCCGCTGTGCCTGCCGGCCGCGCGGGGCCTGCGGTGGGCCACAGTGGGCAGGGCGCGCGCCGTCCCCCTGTCGAATCCCCCGTGGCTGTCGGTATACTGGTCGCCCTTCACAGCTGGCAGTTTATCACCAAGTCCCCTCGCCTCTAAATGGCCTGCTTGTCGCTCCAGCATTTGTCCAGCCTGGGCCTGTCACCCAGGCCTCCTGTGGGCACCACCCTTGGAGGGCGTTCCTGTTCCTCCTGTGTGCCACCCAGGGCCCTGACCGGTGCCATCCAGTTACAGACAGCTGTGAGGCCGCCCACCAGTGAAGGGATGTCAAGTGCCATCCTCCACGTGGCTCCCTAGAAGCTGTGAAGGTCTGCTGTCGGGAGCGTGGAGAAGGTTCTGGACACTGTCATTCTCGGCCCAGAGCCCGCGGCCCCGCCAGCGTCCTCGGGCAGCAGCTGGCAGGTCCACTGCGACCAGGTCGCACATGGGACCACACTCGCTGCAGCGGAGGCTGCGGCGTGTGGCTTCTCCTCACAGCTGCCACTGCGTGCGTCCTTCTCTCCGAGTGACGTCTCACTCTCTACCTCCTCATCCAGAAACACCTCCGTAAATCCTGGGGAGTGGGACCGTGTGTGATACCTGCCTCTAACCAGGGAACAGTGGTAGAAGGGACAGCAGATGAGGCCAGACTGCGGCCGAGTGGTGCAGTGAGCAGGGCTAGGGCTCGGCTGGAGGCCACCGGCTCGGGCCCCCTTTCCCGTGCAGCCCGAGGCCCAAGAGGCTTTCTGCACCCCTCCCCCCGTTTGCCGTGGACACGGTCTCTCCTGGGAAGGCTGAGGTGAGGCTGCGAAGTCTCCTGGCTTCTTCCGTCATTTGGTGGCATGGTGACATTTCCTGCCAGCCCAGCCACTGATGTCACATCCGTCTGTGTGTTCTTGTGGGACAGGGTCTGCCTGAGGTCGGGACGTGGTGGCAGCTCTGGGACTCAGCTGTCCCCTGGAGGTGCCGGGAGGATGGCAAGGCCGGAGTGGCCACATGCTCCCTGGGACTGGCTTCACCGCTGTGTCCCGACGTCAGAGACCGGTCTGGGTGGTCAGGCTCAGCTCGATGCCATGAGCTGTACGTCACCCAGTTGCCACATTCTCGGGGTAACTCGTGTGCCTGGGGCTGGGTCCTCCAGGGAGGCACTGGAACCAGTGGGCCCAGAGCCTGCTCGTCAGCCTGCGGGCCTTGTGCTCGAGCCCCAGGGGCCTGGCACGTGTGGCCGCGTGAGTCCCAGCTCGAGCTCGAGCACGTCTGCCCCCGCCTTCCCCCAGGAGCCCAGGCCCTTCTGGAATGCAGGCGCCGTGGCGGGAGGGCGGCCTGGCGCCTGGCATCTCGTTATAAAAAGCTCTGGCACAGACCGCTCGCGGCGGTGCAGGACGGTTGTGGCTTTGAAGGGGCAGCCACCAGGGGCCTCGCTCAGCCACCTACGAGCTCTGCTGCCCAGGCCTCAGCCAGCCCTCTGGCCACTGTGCCACGGCACTCCGAGGTCAGAGGGCCGTCCCGGTGAGGGTCTAGCTCCCTTCACCGAGGAACAGAGCGCTGTGAGGCGAGACAGCTGTGCGCTTGGTGGCTGCAGGGAGCAGGCAGCCAAGGCCTCGGGAGTGGCTGGGGAGCGCAGCCCTGGAGGAACCTGGGCAGGTGCATTGGGCGAGTGGGTCCCCAAACGCTGGGCAGCTTGGGCCTGGCCGTGCCCAGGGCAATGGCCTGACCTCTGTTGCTGGCGGGGCTGCAGCCAGGTGGGCCATATGAGAGGCAAGGGACGGCGTGATCTGAGGAGCGTAGCGTGTCCCCAGAGCCTGCAAGCCCCACCTGGTCCCTGGGTGGGAGAGACGGGAGGCAGGGTTGCCATGCTGGGGTGGGGGTGGGGAGGTGTGGGCAGGCAGAGGGCAGAGGGCAGAGGGCAGAGGGCAGCTTCCCGGGCAGCCTCTCTCCCCGATGGCTGGTGGCCCTTTTGTGAAAAGGGGGACAGGGCTTGCTGTGGACATCTTGGCAGCGGTGGCCTCAGTGCCATAGAGGTGCCCCCCACGCTCACTGCAGTTACTGTCCCCTCACCCCGTGCACCACAAGCAGAGCGGGCCCTGCCTTGTAATTTCCATCGCCCTTGCTGCCAATTAGGAGCGACGCTGTCCCTTCCTGTGTCCCCTGGGGGGGGGGGACAGCCTGGCTGTGGGGCCAGTGGTTGGCAGGTTTCTGCCAAACCTTTAATTTGGGGGCTGCCACTTCCCCTGCCCCTCCCAGGGAGCCCCTGACGTGGCCTCGACCAGGGCACTGCTCCCCAAGCTTTGAGGACCCCGATAGCAGGCAGCTTGCTGGGCCTCTTTGTGGGGGGCTCCCAGGGAGACAGGAAGTGAGCAGAGGAGCCACTGAGGAGGCTGGCACTGCCAAGCTGCCACTCGCCATACTCCAAGTTCCCCCAGCAGTGACTGAGCTGAGATCCCAGGGCCATGTGCCCTGCTGGTGTGCAGAGGTCCCAGTGCGGCTTTGCTGAGCAGGCAGGCATGGAGGGAGCGGCTCCAGTTCTGGACAGGCTTGGCTGGTGTGGCGTCCCCAGCCCACTGTCCCACCCCCTACTCTGGAGACCTGGCCCTGGCCACGGGCTGGCAGGTGGGGCCTGGGGTGGGCTCGGGTCACCCCAGCTGCAGGGCCTGGGTGGCCCGGCCCCACCTTGCTGGGCACCTGGGCCCCTCCTGGGAGCCTGCATGAGCCAGGCCCTCTGCCCAGCAGCCGGTGGACCGGGACCCCGTGGTGTGCCACCCTGACCTGGAGGAGCTGCTCCAGGCCTGGCCTGCGGAGCTGCCCGACGAATTCTTCGAGGTCACTGTGGACGACGTGAGAAGACGCTTGGCCCAGCTCAAGAGTGAACGGTGGGTGCGCTTCTGCCCCTCCGCGCTGCCCGCGCCCGCCTCAGGCCCCGCGCCCCTCCGCGCTGCCCGCGCACCTCGGAGGGTGCGAGGCTCAGGCAGGGGTGCCTAGTCCTGCCCGGCTCACGTGAGGCCCCCACTCCGGCGTGGGAGATGTGGGACCTTCGCCGACTCCTTCCGCAGAAAGCGCCTGGAAGAAGCCCCGTTGGTGACCAAGGCCTTCAGGGAGGCTCAGATGAAGGAGAAACTGGAGCGGTACCCGAAGGTACGGGAGAGGCCGGGAGTCCGCGTGGCTCTGCTGGGGCCTCGCTCGGCGCCCACGGCCCGCACCCTGCTGGCCGTGTCACCTGCACTTCACCCAAGGCCTGCAGAGCCTCAGTTAACGAACCAGTCAACCCCGTTTTATGATGAAACCAAGTCCAGCATGTTCTAAGTGCACGTGGGGTCCTAGCTCCCAGTCCTTGGCATAGCAGCTGCAGCCATAGCTCCAGCCAGGAGCGTGGTGGGGACAGCGAGGGCCATGGTTGACCAGCACTTCCCCCAGTCCTGGTGTTGCCCTTGGGATGGTGGGCCGGGCGTCGGGGGCCCAGCGCCACACCCCCAACCCCCCGTCCTGCTGACAGCTTGGCGTCTCCCTGCCCAGGTGGTGCTGAGGGTCCTCTTCCCTGACCGCCACATCCTGCAGGGCTTCTTCCGCCCCCGTGAGACAGGTAAGTGGCCCCGCCTGGGCGCGCAGGAGGGCGGGGCGCCTCCTTCAGGCTGTGGGACTGGCCTCCGGGCTCCAGGGAAGAGCAGTTCTCAGGTCGCCCTTGTCCCTGGGGAGCCGGCAGCGGGCTCTGAGCTTACAGGGCGCGCCGCAGTGGCGCACAGGGCCAGGGCTGGCTCACGTCGGGGGCTTGCCAGGCCAGCCTGGCGGCGTCTGTGGTCCTGGGTGCCCTCCGCACCCACCTGGTCCTTCACGGGCGGGATGAGGGCCACCAGAGGGAGGGAGGGCCGAGCCTGCCCACACCCACTAGTGGGGTCTCTGACCTGGGGCTGTGGCCCACCTAGACACCGCCGATTCTGAGTGGGGTCCGTCTCAGGTGCTGTGGAAGGGACTGGACCGGGCTGGGTCGTCCCCGAGGGTGGGAGCAGTGTCTGAGGCCTGAGGCGGAGGCTGGCCCAGCCTGCCCAGTCCCACTGGGGCCAGCCCCGGGGCGGGTCTGGTTGGGGCCCTGCCTGGTTGGGGCCCTGCCACCCCTCGGAGCCTTCTGCTCACCTGCCCTTCCTCGTCCAGTGGGGGACCTGCGGGACTTCGTGAGGAGCCACTTGAGGAACCCCGAGCTGCCGTTCTACCTGTGTAAGTTCTTTACGTACAGCCTCCTGCCACCTCCGCCTGAGCCTCCCCACAGAAAACACGTAGCCTCCTGCGGCCATGTCCAAGGCCAAGTCTGGGGAAGTCTGGGGCCGAGGTTTTCGGGGAGGGAGGCGGCCCTCGCCCCACCCCAATGCCCGTGCATCCTCTCTGCTTCTGGCCTGGCCCCCAGTGCCCGGGAGCTGGGGTACACCAGCCCCCCCTCAGAGGGCATCTGGGTGGTGAAGGCTGGGGTCCACCGGAGGCTCTGCTTCAGGCTGACCACCTCGCCAGAGGTTCTGCAGCACTGGGGCCGAGGTTTTCGGGGAGGGAGGCGGCCCTCGCCCCACCCCAATGCCCGTGCATCCTCTCTGCTTCTGGCCTGGCCCCCAGTGCCCGGGAGCTGGGGTACACCAGCCCCCCCTCAGAGGGCATCTGGGTGGTGAAGGCTGGGGTCCACCGGAGGCTCTGCTTCAGGCTGACCACCTCGCCAGAGGTTCTGCAGCAGCGGAGAGGTGGGCGGGGTGTGGGCGGA